GTTGGATTTTTGGTCGTTTGTTCTTAAAATCTCCTGAAGGCGAAACCGAGCAAAGGGATGAATCAGTACGCTTCTTTATCCTGCCTTGCACCAAATGTGGCACACAGGGTGCACGCTTGTCCCTTGTTCCTTTTTTGTACACAAAACACTGCAGATTTTCTGCATTTCCAGCATGCAGCCTCTCTCCCCTGCAGAGTATTCCAGAATGTCCAACTAGGTAGAGCTGCTTTGAGTAAAACCGTGCACCTGGAGTTCCTCACCTGAGAATGAGGTTTGAGTTTCTCCCGCTGGTTTTGTTAGCGTACTTCTCATTATTTTTTTAAGCATAATTAAGCTATTTAGTCTTTTTTTTCTAGTTTCTTAGGTGGGGGGTTATGACATTGATTTTATAAAATTTGAATTTTGTGTCTATGTTTATTTGGTCTGTATTGTCTGCAGTTTTTTTTATAATGTCTTTTGTTTCAGCAGGGTAATGCTCATCTCATAGAATGAATTAAGAAGGTGCTTTTTTCTGTTTTCTGGAGAGTCTTATGAGTCCTTGATATTAGACCTTTACATTTCCTCTAAACATTGCTGTAGCTGGTGTTCCACAAATTTTCATTTTGATTCCATTCAGAATACTTTCTAATATGAGTGTCCACATATGTGGAGGTTTCTCAGGTATCTTTGTTCTGCTGACTTCTAATTTAATTCCAATGTTTAAAAATCATTTTGTTTTATTTGCATTTCTAGTACTTTAAGACCTTTATTAACTGATGCTTAATTTGTTGACTTTTGAAAACATCAAGCTGTAAACTTACTACAAATTAAAATTAAGAAGGAGGTTGTTAAAAGCTCAACTTGATCATATATGAAACAATTTTAAAATTCTTTAAAGGTCTAGTGAGAAAAACCAAGTTTAAAAAAAATGTTTTACCAAAAATCATTACCTTTAGTTAAAAGTTATGAAAGCCCCATATTACACAGATAATTCAGAGCTTGTTACTGGGTCAGTAGACAAAAGCCAGCTCTAATCTTTTGTTCATTACCAGAATTTCATATTCATTTCTTCTTAAACTAACCAGATACTGGTAGTAAATGGCAAGTCACTATTTACTCAGTTTACCCTGGTCATCCTTAAGAGAGAAGGAATTTGCTACTTTTGTCTCTTTGCCTTCTTGTGGTATAGTGTTTTCTTGGCTTCATTGGTAATTGAAGTTGCCAGTACCAATATTGAAGTGACTGCTGGCCTTCGTTCTCATTCCCTTGGTTTTCCTTAACTTCATGACTGTTTTTCACTGAGCTGTCTTTTGTGAGGAGGGCCTTGCAGAACTGTGATTGGTAAGCCAATATAAATTCTATCTCACTGACATGTTGCTATCCTATACCCTTGTTATCAGTCCCTCTGTCCCATTTCTTTATATCATTGGAATTCTTTGGTGTCACCAGAGTCTTCACACTATCTTAGGTGGGGCCATGGCCTGCTTTGTTGGACCTGGTCTTAGTGAGCACTCTGCTATTCTTCACTGTTCCCCACTCTCACTACTCTGGTCATTCTGCTGGTAACTGTTGAGGACCTCTGTGACATGGATGGGTCTATAATGGTTACAGGCTGCTGTACATTTACTACCTCACACCTGAACTCCACAAGGACCTTAACATTTGTTGCCTCCATACCCTTTCACCAGCATCAGCATCAGACTCCCCATATTCTCTCTTCCTACACTGCAGAGGTACTTTATGGGGTTATTATTCTTGCTGGCAGTTTGATGTACAAGTACACTTCCTTGGTGTCAGTCCTGTTGATAAACCTTTATCTGTTTCTTTCTTTGAATTGTTTAGGTTCCCAAAACCTTTGTTGCAGTGACCCGATTGGTATAGCATCACTGAAGGGGTGGACTGCTGTGGGTCTTAAACAGTGCTCAGGGGGTGTGGTGATGGTGATGAGCTGGTGGCAGCCAGGGTTGCTTGGGGTTCTTAGGGATCCACTCACTTTTGCAGAGAAAACTCCTATTTGAATTATTTCAAATGCATTGAGACTTGTGTTGGGGGAGAAAGAATATGACCTATTTTGCTAAATTTTCCTTACGCACCGTGAGAAGAGTGTGTGTTCTGTGTTGAGTGTCATTTAGGTCAGTGTGGTTGTTGATACTGTTTTCTTTGTCTTCTATATCCTTAACTAATTCCTCATGAGTTACTTGATTATCAGGAGAATGTTGAAATCTTGATTGTGAATTGTCTGTTTCTTCTTTTAGTTCTAGCAGTTTTTTCTTTGTATTTGAGAGCATCTTTGTACATTTGGAAGGCATAGAAATATGTATTCCTGATGGAGTGGACCTTTGTCATTATGAAATGACTTTCTCATACACTTGTAGCTGTTTCATGTGACTCCCAACTGCCTGTGGGCCAGGTGTGTCAGGGCCTACCTCTTGGACCCTGGCACATGCTTAGGTGTTAGAGAATGCCAAAAATCAAGAAACCCCGAGTTCCTGCTCAACCATGTTGTCAAGCCCCCCATGGTGCTTTCAGAGAGGCTTGTAGTCAGTGGCCAAGCAGGAGACCCCATGCTCACCATCTGATTGATCCCCAGATTTTCTGGCCTGCAGAGTGCTCAGAGCTTCTTTCACCCTTGTAGCCCAACCTCACCCAAGACTGTTTCCTCTAAACCTACTTGGAGAGGTACCTCTATGGGTGGTAGTCTTTTCTCCCCCAGCCTCCCTTCTCCTAGATCAAGGTGAATCTGCACTAATTACATGCCCATGTCAGCAGAAAATATTCTTAAGATAGAAACTGTATTGTTCCTACAGCCACTCTAGCTTTTGTCTGGTTTGGCCTTTATCCATCTTAATATTTTCATCCTTTACTTTTTAACCTATTTTTGAGCTTCTTGCAGTTAGCCTGTGGTTAGGTCTTGCTATTTCATATGACAGTGTCCTTTTTATTTAGATCTTTTCAGTTGTAATGAGTTGATTGTTGGTAAATAATAAATCTACCAGATTGCTGTTTATCTCATCTGTTTGTTCCATGTTACTCTTTTACAGTTCTTTAGATTAACTTTATGATCCACTTTATCTCCTTTATTAACTTCTTGGCTATGCCACTTATTTTTTTGTGCCTGCTTTGGGGATAGTAGCATACATCATCTACTTATTCCTGTCTGCCTTCAAGTGATGTCTTCCCACTTAACAATATACTTCCATTTTTCCCTTTTTGGCTCTTTGTGCTGTTGTGTGTCACATTTTACTTTTATATGAGTTACGAATCCAATGGTAAGTCATATTTTCACTTTAACAGTCAACTGTATTTTTAAATCGGGTAAGACGCCTTTATGTTTGCCAACATGTTCTGTATTTCTGTTTTACTGTTTAGTTCCACTTTTATATCTAGTATTTTCTTTCTGTCTGAAGGAATTTCTTTAACATTGCTTGTAGTAGTTTTCAGATGTGTGAAAAAGTCTTTGCCTGGTTTGGTTTAAACAGCTCTGTTGATGTATTAAGGACATAAAAATAAATATTAATTTGAATTGTATAATTGACATGGTTTAACATTAACATTGATAACTCTTGGGACAATCACTTTGAGAAAATGAACATATCCATTATCCCCAACTTTCCCTGTACTTCTTTGTAAATGCTTCCTGTTCACCCAAACTTCCCTTGCCACATAATCTGTATTTTCTGGAATTGTATATAAAGATAATTTTTTGTTGTTTGGATTCTTCACTCATAATTATTTTTAGATTCATGTGAATGTATAAATACGGCCCTTTTTATTTTTATTATAAAATATAGGTGACACAACATTTCTCATTTTAATCATTTTAAGTGTATAGTCCAGAGGATAGCAACTATTTCCAGAACTTTTCCATTATTAAATCTTTTATTCTGTAGTATATATAATCTGTAGTTAATTTCATCCAGTGTACTTTTCATTCAGGCAGGGTTTCTTTTTTGTCACTAGCTCTCTGATATTTTGTAGTTATTTTAATGTTCATGTGTATTAATTCTGTCATCTGCCATTCTGGGTCTGTTTTTATTGATTTTTTTTTCTCTTAAATGGTCATGTTTTCTGACTTTTTAAAATATACGTGGCAAGTTTAAATTATTAATTTTATTATTGCGTGCTAGTTTCTTTGTTATACTTTTAACAGTTGTAGGGAATTTTCTCTGATGTTATTAACACACCTAAGAACTATCTTTTTGAGACTTGCTTTGACTCTTAGGTGGACTCAGACAGTCTTTGCAGTAGACTAATTTGGCCCCACTGATGTGGACTCTGTTCAGTGTGCTCTGGACTCAATAGGACTCCTTGATGACCAGGAGGGTGTATTTTTCTGTGTCACTCTTCTTCAGTATAGTTGTCATTCCTGGCAGAGGAAACCTTGCACAAATGACAGTAACACCACTGGATCACTGCATTTGGTGAGAAATGCCAGGTATGCAAGGGACAAAAGTGCCTAAAGAAAACAAAAAAGGGGAAGTGTACTCTAACTGTATCACTAAGAGCTAACCTGAGGAGACTAACAATTATCTTGTGTTGCCTTCATTGATGCATAAAACAAATCTCTCACAACTAATGAAGATTCTGAAGTTTGTGGGCATTTACCTTTTAATTTACATTGAAATATGGAGCAAATGCTTGCTGCTTCAATCTCTCTGACATGGACTTCTCTCTTCCCAACTCAGAGATTCCTGGACTTTGGGTATCTCTTCCCCGTGCTGCAATCTGAAAACTAAATTCCACATCACTCTTCAGGGGCAGTTGTAGAATTTGCTTTGAGAAATCACTGTCTTGTGCTACCCATTGACCAGTGAATAAATCTAAAAGCAATATTTTACAAATGATAAATTATTATATCAGGTCTCAGTTGTACGCTATATAGTATAAACAGTCCTAAAGACCAGTGGGCCTCACGATTATGTTCTGGTTCCCAGCGCGAGTGCATCTCTATCCATGTGGGGCAGGCGGGTGTCCAGATCGGCAACGCCTGCTGGGAACTGTATTGCCTTGAACATGGGATTCAGCCCGATGGTCAGATGCCAAGTGACAAAACCATCGGTGGTGGGGATGACTCGTTCAACACGTTCTTCAGCGAGACGGGAGC